GACTCTGTTGCGCACTGATTCATCCCGTATCTCAAACTTCATTGTACGCTCATCAACCACAAAGATATGAACCTTTGCGTTCTTATTCCCCACTGGCCAACTTTTGTTTACAATCACATGGACTTTCGCCACATGTGGAGCAGGAGCTAGAAATTTTCCAAATAGGATCTCATCCCACAAGGGAACCAAACCTTCCAAAACGTCATCAGTAATTTCCACAGAAGGAGCACCCTCAACGATCGAAACTGATAGGTCGTATTTCAACAAACCCGATTTTATTCTGAACAATAGATGAGTACAGCGCCTTCGAAGGAAGATTTGAGATCGATGGATTCAAACTCTCCACGCCCTTCGAAGCGTCCACTCCCGAAACCTCTCCATCGCTACCTAACTGCTGGTCACAAAGAACCGGAGTCTCCATTCCGAGGATTCGCCGGAGGAGGAGGCAGAGAGCCCCCCGATGCCGCCATCCTTCCGGCCGAAGGAAGAGAAACGATGAAACCCTAGTCGCCTTTGAATTCGCCTTGCCACGTCACAATGAACAAAATCCTGACTTTTATTCTAGTTAGGATTTATATACATGTGAGTTATAATTACTTAACTTATGAATACAATTACAAAATAATTTTTTTTCTAATTTTCAAATTAAAATTTCTGATTTAATTACATAGTATATACTTTGTAAGAAGTCTACTATTAGATTAGGACATCCGTTTTTTGTTTGGTCATACAGGATTCTATGGTCTTTTTACTACTTCTTTAGGTTATTTTTACTAAATGTTATATTAGGAGACTACTTTTGTATTCAGAGTCAAGTTTTATGTTACTTTTAGCAAAAATCCCAACTTTAAATCATAAGAAAGAAAAAAAAAACAACCTAACCTGAACTATATTTCTCAAACTTTTCTTATATATTTATTAGTTTTTTTTAAATAAGAAAATTAAATAATAGATAAGTTCATATACACATATCAGGTCCGGTATGGAGACAAGGCAGGCTAGACAGGTTGGGCGAATGTTTAGGCTACCGCTTAGTTTACTTTTCTTATGAGCATTGCCGTGCTCAGAGTTATGAGAGCTTATGATGATTATTACAAATTCGGCGTAGCCAAAAAATATGAAAAAAAAACTTAAAACGCTAAAACTACTATTGTCTGTATCTAAGTAATATATTTTTTTAAAAATTTCAAAAATATTTACAAAATATATTATAATTTAATCATAAATACATCTTTTTATGATTAACATTTTTATATAACTCTAAACGAATAGTAATTCAATAAACTCAATTATTATTTTTTAAGTTTACAATTTATCACCATTAAACAATTAAAAATGGATAGATAACTTAAAATCTATATTTTTGAAATTTCTTAAACATCTATTAATTTGAAACAGTGGGGATATACAAAATATCATACCAATTATTATTCAGAAAAAGGGAAAAGATCTTGAACTCATGACATGTAGCTAAACTTTAAATGATATTTTAACCAGTACATTGTTGAAAATTTAGGTTTTAGAGACCACCCACTTCACTTCATTCCACCTCACCAAGCCCCACTCCACCTCATTCATCACTTCCCACCACCTTCCATCACCACCTATCACCTTCTAAAACCTCTTCGAATGAATCCGGTCTATCTCTACCAGCATCCGGGATCTAGATAAGTTCTCTTTGGTCTTACCAATTCGATTATCTATGCATTTTTCTCATCCAATCTCGACTTGTTTCACACTAAGGACAGTGTGATGTAAGTCTGGGGGAGGATTTTATCCCTTTCTTACCATTTTATTTTCATGAGTCTTGCATTATCTACACTTTTTACATTTTCCTTAAAGTTTTTCAAAATCGATTTTCAAAACAAAATACGTTTTAAAGGGAATGGTGAACATGTATCAATGATAGTTGACTGTGTGCTTTTAGATTGTTCCTAGTGACATGCTCATTCATGATTTAGGACTAGACTAGGCGGTAGTTAAGCACATTTGAAACGAAGTACCCCAGATGAATTTGAATGATTTTGATTTAGATGAAGGAATACACTAGCTCTGTTTTATTTGGACTTAATGTGGACTTAATTCTTTCTTTGAAGCATTAGACCAGGGAAACAAATCATACATTCAGGACTCTTTTATCTTTTTACCACTCTTTGTTGATCCTGAATGGCTAGTTCATCTTTAGCTAGTTCCCCACCTTAACCAAGCCTCTTTCAAACCACATGCACTCTTGTTTTCTATTGTCTTATATGCAAATATGTGTAAAAACGTTGGAGAGAAAGAGGAACGACGCAGTTTTCAGTCACCAAAGACAGAGACCTGCGATTTGGATCAGCGTATGTCAGGGAAGACCTAAAACTTCCCGGAAGGATTCAACACATGAAGAAGCTCAGTTTGCCTTAACAAATTCTCAAATTTTGGTAAAATCTCGTCCTCTATTCTCTTTCTCTAAAATATGCATCCCCTTTCCTAAAAAAAAAAAAAAATCCGAAAATAGGAAAAGAAAGGAGATAAAAGCCTAGAGAGTCGAGAGAGGTCGAATTTTAAGTCCAAAGGCAACTGGAGTTTGATTTGTGGAGTTTTGGAGACCATTTTATGATTCCCGGAAAAAATCTAAGTCTAGGGGAATAGCTGTTCACAACAAAGGAGGAAGGATTACGCAACAACATTTGACAAGAAGAAGTGACTGAAAATTGTGGTCATCAACAGATCCTTATATATCTCTCTTGCGGTTTTGTATATTATCTTGCATCCTCCTGATTCATCAGGTAACCCGAAATACTTTAACTCCACCACTTAAACAGCCCTTTAATGCCAAACTCCATCTACCCTGGATGACGTATTTGATGAGAAATCACTATTACACTTAATGAATGTAGAGAGCTAGTTGACCGGAATAAAAATTTAGATTATTAAAATTTTGCATGACAGAAAAGTGGACTAGTATCTTTTGTGTCTTGGTGAGAATTTTCTAGACTACATTGTGGATTGATGCACGATCTTTGGTCCTGGTTTAGGAGTTCATGTCTCTGAGATTTGTGCATTTCCTATTTTTCTTTTCACCTAATCAGTTTAGACTTATGCTTTGTTTGAGGACAAACAAAGGTTTAAGTCTGGGGGAGTTGATAACACCGTATTTTGACCACTTTTATGGATCATTTTGAAATAATTTTTCTATATTTTTTATTCTTTCAAGTACTTTTATTACGTTTTTTTTTAGTATTTGTAGTTCTAAGACTCTTTTCAGGAAACTTAGGGAAAAGCTTAACAAAATGGATAGACGACCAGATTTTCAGCTCAGAGTCAAACCGTCAGAATTTCACCCTCGATTGAAGGCCTTCTCACCGTCTGATCCAGCTCAAATTTGGATATCTCAAAGATGGAAGTATTAGCTTTCCAGCACACTTTACAGCTTGGCAATCCAACGGTTCAATCAAAAGATACACGAAGAGCAAGATGTCCCGTAAACCAGCCGGCAACCATTTCCACCCACGGCCAACAGTCATTTCATCACGGTCAGAGGCTTCCCGACCGCGGCCAACCATCCATTCCCCGCGGCCACGCACATCCCGACCACGGCCAGCCAACTCCGAACTCGAAGGCCCATTTCTGAAGCCCATTATGAGTATTACTGCCACATCCTTCTCCATGTAGATACCAAATAAAATATTGCAGCATGAACCCTCTATTTAGTAAATGCGTCCACACGGTTTAGGTTAGTGTATACCTTGTATTCTTACATTTCAAACATGGACAAAACATCTTCCCGCTTTCTTTGGTTCTCTCCATATTTTTGGCTTGATACATGAATATTTATAACCTGTTCTTGAATTCATCTGTCAACGGCTCTTCTGAATCTTTATGCATATACATTCAACTTGTTAGCTCGTATATTGACATCTCCATATAAACTCAAAAAAAACTTTCTCTCTCTCTATTGCTTAGACAAGGTCTTATGCCACATGTAGCCACGTGAATAGGCAAACCTTTTTATATTATTATTTCGTTTTTTTTTTAAAGAAACTCATTCAATTCGGGTTTCCAGCAACTGACATCCCAATATATCGGATTTTTAAACACAGTCTCTAAACTAAAAAAAAACACTATAATAAGGTTTAAGAGACCCAAATGTGTCTCTGGGATGCTGATGCTCTTATGTTTGAATGATGATGTTGTGAATGAAAGAAGAAATGAAGATGTATTTATAACAAAATTTCAGGCATTACGACGCTTTTACACCGACTATTTACAAAATTACGACGCTTTTACGTCGATTGTGCGATAAAATATTTCAACGACATTGGGTAGGTGAACATGTTTAAATTTTTTTTCAATTACCTTTTTGTTAAATGTAAAACGTCGTAATGATACATTGGAACACGTTCGTCGTAAATTCATCGTAAAGTTACGACGATTTTACGATGCATTACGATGAAAACCCGTTATCGATGTATAATCGTCGTATAATTTACGACGCTTTACGACGATTTTTTTTTTTACGACGCTTTACGACGATTTTTTTTTTACGACGTGTTGTTTTTTCGTCGTAAAGTCGTCGTAAAACAGTTGTTTATTTACGACGATTTTGAAACAGTCGTAACAAACCGTTGGAAAACGATTGTTTTCTTGTACTGGGGGGAATTAACACTCTCACTTGCACCAACGTTCACATTATCTTGCTTAAGAGTATCTTCTTTCTCTGAATTTGTCTGCAATTTATTGTGACAAATAGTGGATGAATATACAAATAACAACACCACTGCTATGATTTAGTTACATGTTTCAACAAATTCTGGAAATTGGAAACAACAAGTATTTAAAACATAAGTAAATAAGCTCACACAATACATAACACTATTAAACATGTTTGAATTCAAGTGACAACATTAGTCTGAAGTGTTCCTAGCTTTCGATGATCTTGTTCGCGTGTAACGATTTTGTATAGCCTGAGGGTTTTTGGTACTAACCCCTTCACGCTTCTTGGATCCAGTGTCCTGCTGCTAGCTCGGCTCTACATTGTCTTTAACCTCTTCGTCAGTGTGCTTAGCCGTCCCTGTTGTCAACTCCTCTACTGCGTGCTCTACTGCTTCTACCTTATCGCTGAGAAGTTTGATCTGCTTTTCACAGCTACCAAGACCACTCAACAACTTGGTTAAGAAGCTTTTGAATCATTGGTCGAAGTATGCTTTCATAGTAGCGGCAACTCCGACCCCTTGATTACCAACGAAAGAGGCGGCAGATGCAGATGCTATGCAGGTTTTCTTCTGGCTTGATTCATCTGAGGGAAAGCTCCTTTTTTTCTGCTTCTGCCTTGAACAACGTGTGAACCCAGAACACCTTCCAGAGGCCAGTGCTGTTTTGAAAACTTGAATTGTGGGTCATGGATTGCATTGACAACCTTGAAAATTTTCGGATGATGTTGCTCATCATCCCAAACTGGAAACATATCCGCCAAGTCCTTAGCCACGCAGCACTATATGTGAGCCAAGAAAAACACAATTCAAACATTGAAGTCTGTTTGGAAGTCTACTTATGAATTCTATCACTGAAGTCTACTACTGAAATGAATTCTTATATAGAAGTCTAATGTGGAACAAGACTTCTAAATGAGAATGAATAATACATGTTTTAGCATGTTGGCTTTGACGTTCTTTCGTCCTCTTGATCCTTTGTATGACAGAAGAGGGTTTGGATCATTTGGCAATGGCTCGCCAAATTCAGCAGCAAAATCCGGAAGAGCATAGTATACCCATACTTGAAGAGCTTGCACAAATCCTTCTATATTAATATTTTTGCTGAGATCTTTCTCCTTGACAGACTTTATCAGATGCTTAAAAGCAATTCTTCCCCATGGGAACTCCTTAAAACCCTCAAGATCTACCACTAGTCTGGCATGGTTAGCATTTTTTGGTGAGATTGTTTCCGTTGCCACTATGAAACCAGCGTAGATCCCAAGATATCTCAACCGCAGCCTATCATCCCGAGACCATGATGAGCAGTTGGAACAAGCTTCAATTATTTCAAATGTGCTTGGCCCCAACTCCATATTGACCCCCATTTGCTCCCGAAATACCCGCATGTCATCGGAAATCTCAAGATCAGCTAGAGCCAAGTCATTCACGTACCCGCAGTTGAGTCCGGTGATTTCCTCAAACTCATGCAATGAAAACCTCACTGGAGTGGTAACAATCAGGCTCTGTAGCTCGTACCTCTGATTGCAAACTATCTGAAAGGTGAGCATGTGGTGCACCAGCCTAGACGCCCAACCAAAATCCAAGTCGTGGAACTTTAATAAGACACCCAACAGTGACTCATAAATATCGGCCCATCCATCCTCTCGTAGAGCTTGCCGTAGTGAAGGAACCAGCCTATAATCACCAGCATAATAGCTGATGCTTTTGTCTGGGAGTGGTTCACCGCCTTTAGTGTACAATCTTTGCGGAAATTCAGAGGCCTCCATTATCTAACACAGTATTCTACATCAACGGTAAAAGAGCTTTAGTCAGAAAACTGATTATAACAAACGGTTTGAAACTTTAAACGAATGAAGTCTACTATTTGCAAATCGAAGTCTACTTTTTCACAATGAAGTCTACTTTGTTGAATTTGAAGTCTACTCTGACCTCGAGAGGTCTACTAAAGGCAACTGAAGCAATCAATACATCAAAAATACAGTATATGAAGTCTACTAAAAGAAATCAATCAAAATGGAATCTACAAAGCAAATAGTGGTTACCAGCGTGATTAGATAAAGTCGGCGTCGACAAAATGCAGCCAGCTCTGCAAAAAAAAAACTATGTACTCTCACCCGTCGGACAAAATTACAAGAAAATAGAAGAATATAAAGAACAGCTATGTATATAGCTTCAAAAGGAAATCTACTTACCGTTTTGAAGCAGGAAATGACGTTACAGTCAGGCGGGGAAAGCAGCTCTGCCAAAAAAAGAAACCCTAATTTCAGATCTGGACATTGGTGGTAACGAACATGGAATGGTGATGAACACGGAGGAATAGAGAAGCATGGAGGTAAAGTTCGAGGAAGAAAACATGCCTGGAAAGAGTTATCGGCAGTGGTGAGGAGTAAATTGGCAGCGGCGTTGAAGAGAAACAGAAATCGCCTTCGTTTTTTTTCACAGGAAATTTTTGACGGTTTTTTTTTTTAACAGAATCTGTAAAATTTCTTTATAGAGTCTGGGTAATTCTGTTCTTTTTTTTTTGAAAGAATGTAAAATTATATTCAACTCCAAAAAAACATCGTTTTTACATCAGTGATGCTACTTTTACGAAAAAGAGAACAATATTAAGAGTTGCAAGAGTTAAACAAAAACAGAGCTCTTCTCATCTAGTTGCGAACCAGACTTGAAGAGTATTGTCGAATTTCCGGTCACCTAAATCCTGAATGGTTTGAATCCTGCAGCGAACCAGCTTGTCAACGAAGTGAGTCAGAGCTTGAGCAGAACGAGGAGTATCACCATGTCTGTGACAATTTTGTTCTCGCCAGATACTATGGATAGTCGCTTGAAAAACATATCGAGGCAAAAATGATGTGGTGTTGTGGTGAGGGTGTCAAGTTTTACCCTAATTGAAATCAATAGGCGCAAGTGCACAGCTGATCGATTGTAGTACTTAGGGATAGAATCCACAGGGAAGGAGGATCTTTTCCTGCAAAAAGCCTTTGAAATAAGTTAAAGTAAGGAAGTTTAGAACAAAAACGGTTTTGTGGGGGTTTGGTAGTGTGTTTAAAATGTAAAAACGAAATCTTAAAAGAGAATACGGGAATTAAATGACGTAATAACTAAACTAAATAAAAATGACTAAAAATGATAAAAACGGATATTCTAATGCTTAAATGAAAATGAACTAAAAAGGAAAGACAATATTGAACTAAAGCTTTAAATAAAATCGGTGTAAATCAATAAGGAAGAAGGCGTTGGGCTTCAGGGAAGTTTTCTCAGGGGTACGAACGATTCAAAACATTGCTAGAGAGGAAATTTGATAAGATCTTAGCTTAAACTTTTTGAACTGGAGTCACGGACGTATGAACACGCCATTGTCGTGATCATAGACAACTATCTCTCTCAACCCTGACCAGTAGGTTTCCACTCTGGCCCTGGAAGAGAAAAGATGCATTATGTTTAAGACTCGTCCTAATTCACAAATCGCCCATAGGTAGGTTTCCACTCCTATGTTTGTTTTGCTCTCCTAACTAGATCTGATACCTGATGAACACTTTCGTGTCACCAAGCATCTGGATCAGATTGTAGTTCATGACGCTACTCTCATGCAGTAAAAACGAATTCAGAAGAAAAAGTTCTAAGATTCGGCTCAAAAGCTCATGGAATCCTCATCGAACATATAAATCCCCATCGAAAATCCCTTAATCCCAACAATAAAACTACTCAGACATGATGAACGAAATCAAAGACATAGTATTAAGAAGTAGAATAGAAACCGAAATTGAAAAAGAAAAAACAAGGGTTCAAGAGAACAAATCTCTCTCTCCTTAAAAGTTAAAGCAAAAACAATAAAAGTATGAAGTAAATATTTTGGTGGTGATAGGTTACACGATTTAGGGTTCCTAAGACATGTATTTATAGTGCTCAAGACCTCTCTGGACGTCACTTAGGGTTTCTCCAAATGTGGGCTTCAGAAATGGGCTTTTTGGGCTTGGAGGTTGATGGCCGCGGTCGGGACAAATGTGACCGCGGTGAATGAGTGGTTTTCCGTGGTTGGGATGCTCCTGACCGCGGGAAATTGCTTGTTGGCCGCAGGTGGAAGTGCTTGCCGGCTGGTTTACGAGACATCTTGCTCTTCGCGTATCTTTTGATTGAACCGTTGGATTGCCAAGCTGTAAAGTGCACTGGAAAGCTGATACTTCCATCTTTAAGGTCTCCAAATTTGAGCTGGATCAGACGATGAGAAGGCCTTCAATTGGGGGTGAACTTCTGACGGTTTGACTCTGAGCTGAAATCTGGTTTTCTATCCATTTTGTTAAGCTTTTCCTTAAGTTACCTGAAAAGAGTCTTGGAACTACAAATACTAGAAAAACGTAATAAAAGTACTTAAAAGCAATTAAAAACATAGAAAAAGTATTTCAAAACGATCCATAAAAGTGGTCAAAATACGGTGTTATCAACTCCTCTAGACATAAACCTTTGTTTGTCCTCAAACAAAGCAAAAGCCTAAACTGGTTAAGTGAAAACAAAAATAGGGAATGCACAAATCTCATAGACATGAACTCCTAAACTAGGACCAAAGATAGTGCATCATTCCACAACTTAGTCTAGAAAATTCTCACCAATGCACAAGAGATACTAGTCCACTTTTTCCGTCATGCAAAACTTAAACAATATAAATCTTGATTCCAGTCAACTAGCTCTCTACATTCATTAAGTTCAATAGTGAGTTCTCATTAAAGACATCATCCAGGGTAGACGGCGTTTGGCATTAAAGGGCTGTTTAAGTGGTGGAGATTAAAGTGTTTCGGGTTACCTGAAGATCTGCAGGATGCAAGATAATATGCAAAACAGCAAGAGAGATAAGGACCTGTTGATGACCACAGTTTTCAGTCACTTCTTCTTGCCAAATATTGTTGCATAATCCTTCCTACTTTGTTGTAAACAGCTATTCCCCCAGACTTAGATTCTTTCCGGGAATCAGAAAACAATCTCCAAAACTCCATAAAATCGAACTCCTGTTGCTTTAGGACTTAAAATTCGACCTCTCTAGACTCTGTAAGGCTTTTATTTCCTTTCTTTTCTTATTTTCGGATTTTTTTTTTTTTTTTTGGAAAGGAAATGCCTTTTAAAGAGAGAGAGACTAGAGGACGAGATTGTACCAAAATTTGAGATTTTTCTAAGGCAAACTGAGTTTCCTCTTGTGTTGGATCCTTCCGGGAACTTTTCCGGCAAATTGCAGGTCTCTGTCCTTGATGACTGAAAACTGCGTCGTTCCTCTTTCTCTCCAACGTTTTTGCACTTATCTGCATATAAGACAATAGAAAACAAGAGTGCATGTGGTTTGAAAGAAGATTGGTTAAGGTGGGGAAATAGCTAAAGATGAACTAGCCATTCATGATCAACAGAGAGTGGTAAAAAGATAAAGGAGTCCTGAATGTATGATTCGTTTCCCTGGTCTAATGCTTCAATGAGAAAATTAAGTCTAAATTAAGTCCAAATAAAACAGAGCTAGAGTATCCCTTCATCTAAATCGAAATCATTCAAATTCCTCTAGGGTACTTCGTTTCAAATGTGCTTAGCTACCGCCTAGTCTAGTCCTAAATCATGAATGAGCATGTCACTAGGAACAGTCTAAAGCACACAGTCAACTATCATTGATTCATATTCACCATTCCCTTTTAAAACGTATTTTTTTTTAAAACCGATTTCGAAAAACTTTAAGAAAAATGCAAAAAGTGTAAATAATGCAAGACTCATGAAAGAAAGGTGGTTAGAAAGGGATGAAATCCTCCCCCAGACTTAAATCACACTGTCCTCAGTATAAAACAAGTCGAGATTGGATGAGAAAAATGCATAGATAATCGAATTGGTAAGGACAAAGAGAACTTACCTGGATCCGAGATGCTGGTGGAGATGAACCGGATTCATTCGAAGGGGTTTGGGAAGGTGATTAGGTGGTGATGAAGGTGGTGGAGGGTGATGAATGAGGTGGAGGGTGATTGGTGAGGTGGAATGGGGTGAAAGGGGTGGTTTGGGTCGGGTTTGGATCTCAACGACCAAGTGCCGCGGTCAGGGGCTGCACGACTGCGGCAAACAAGCACTTGGCCGCGGTCATATTCACGCGACCGCGGTCGATGAGTAGTTTCCTGCGGTCAGAACATCTGCGACTGCGGGAGTGGTGATACAAAGCGAGATCCAATGGATAAAAACATCAGGGAAATTCATGGCTCTTAGAGCATTGAGAATAAACGGCCACTGAACCTAGTCGAAAGCCTTCGAGATATCAATCTTAATGGCGGATCGAGCTGAGATCGTATCCTTATGATAATCTTTGACTAGTTCTGTAGCTAGAAGAAGATTTTCAATGAGAAGACGAACCTGAATAACAGCAGATTGATTCATTGAAATAAACTTTGGGAGTATTCTCTTCAGTCTATTTGCAATAATCTTCGATATAACCTTATAGATGACATTACAGCAGGAAATTGGGCGATAGTCCTTCATTTCCACTGCAGAAGTTTTCTTTGGGATCAAGGCTAAAGTATTAGAATTTATTCCTTTCGGAAGAAACCCTTTCTCGAAGAATGACTGGAATGCAATGATGAATTTTTTGCCAACAATTGGCCACAATGCCTTATAAAACTCTGCAGTATACCCATCTGGACCTGAAGACTTATTACTAGGCATAACGAACAAGACTCTTGTAATTTCTTCTTCAGAGACTGAACACACTAATGAGCTTCTCTCATCATCTGTGCATCGGCACCCAGAAGATCCCCAA